GCCACTTCTCAACAGGCCAAGCCACACTGCTCAGCTAAAGAGTCCCTGGCACATGGCCTCACTGGGTCTGCTCCACCCCCACCAGCCGAATCCTGCTGCACCGCCATTTTATTTACTTTTTTTTTTTTCACTTCATTTTTTGCCTTTTTTTTCCCTTTGTTTTTCTCTCATTTCTCTTCTTTTACCCACCTGCTTGGCTCTGCACATCACATCCTCTCCTTTCCCTCCTGCCTATCTGCACTGTGCCTTGAGTGCCATGCCCCTGAGTGGTACTGACGTGGTCCCCCAGACTCTGCCCTGCACTGCCCCCAGCCCCGCCCCGTTGCCCCCAATCCCTCCACCGGACCCGCCCTGCTGCACCATAGCGGAGTGACTGGCCCTGCCCACCTGGACAAGGTGGTGAGAAATACCGTGCCCATAGGCAAGCAAGCAACAAAACCACCTAGCCCACCTTCCCAGACATAACCAAATAAAGTAAAAAAGTAGGACGAAACAATCAGATCTACAATCAGTAAGTGAAGAAAATAATTTCTGAATGTCCCAGAGACAGCAGACAATATCAAAACATATTAAAAAACAGGAGAGGATGGCTCCAGAAAGCAACCAAAATAAAACACCAGATGACGTTCTGCTAGAAGAAAAGGCATTGGAACTACCTGAGAGGGAATTCAGAACTCTCATATTCAGGGTTCTCCAACAGATGAAGGAAAATGCAGGCAAAAATAAGAAAAAAATAGACAAAATCATGGAAAAGACAGACAAAACAATGGAAGAAGTCAGGATAATAATACAGGAACAAAACATCAAAATAAACAACTAGAAATCATACAAAAACAGCAATTAGAAATCCAAAAGATAAACAACAATATTTCAGGAATAGACAGTGCAGTAGAAGGTTTCAGGAGCAAATTTGAAGTAATGGAAAACAAGATCAGTGAAATTCAAGACAAATCCTTGGATACCACTTTGCTTTAAGAAAAATCAGAGAAAAGACTGAAGAAAAATGAAGAAACCCTGAGAATGATGTGGGATACAATCAAAAGCAAAAATTTGCACATGATCAGAGTTCTGGAATAGGAGGAGAAAACGGAAAACACAAAGGATCATTGAAGAATTGCTGCCAGAAAGCTTCCCTAATATCATGAAAGATGAAAATCTAAGAAGCTCAGTGGACCCCATATAGGATAGACCCCAAAAGAAAAACACCGAGACATATAATCACACTCGCTAAAACCAAAGACAAAGAAAGAATCTCGAGAGCAGCTCAAGAAAAACCAAAAGTCACATACAAAGGAGAAACAGTAAGACTAAGCTCTGATTACTTGGCAGAAACCATGCAGGCAAGAAGGCAATGGGCTGACACATAAAATCTTGAAAGAAAAAAACTGCCAAACAAGAACACTATATCCTGCAAAACTCTCACTCAAATATGATGGTGAAATTAGGACATTTCCAGATAAATAGAAATTAAGAAATACATAAAAACCAAACCAAACTTACAGGAATTATTAAAGGGAGTCCTTCAGTTAGAGAACCAGTAACATCAGACAACAACCTGAATCTAGCACATAACACAGCATCAGCCAGATACCAGCCTAGATAGTGAACTCTGAAGGATAAAACAAAACTAAAATATTTACAGCAAGGAACCAGAGAGGTTAATCTGTAAATGACAACAATGTCAGAACAATAAAAGAGGGAATAAACAGTGTAGGTATAGAACTTTCAAACGGAGAGGAAGTCAAGGTGTTATCAAGTAATAAAAGACTGGTTTAAACTTAGGAAGATAGAGGTAAATTTCAAGGTAACCACAAAGAAAGTTAACAAACCTACTCATCAAAATAAAGGAGAAAAACATAAAGTCTCAGTAAACACAATATCTACAAAAACAAAAGAAATGAAAAAAAATACACACAAAAAAGTAATTCAGCACAGAAGAGTAAAAGGAACAAAGAAAACGTCAGCACCACAAAAAAAAGCACTACAAAGTGACAGCGATAAACTCACACCTATCAGTAATCACATTGAACATAAATGACTTAAATGCACCCATAAAGAGACAGAGAGTGACAGAATGGATAAACAGGACCCATCGATATGCTGTCTACAAGAGATACACACCTTAGAAACAAAGACATAAATTTATTAAAAATCAAAGGATGGAAGAAAATATATTAAGCAAACAGCTACCAAAAAAGAGCAGGAGTGCCAGTACTAAGATAAAATAGACTTTAAAACAAAATCCACCATAAAAGACAAAGAAGGACATTATATAATGTTGAAAGGGACAATTACCATGAAGACATAACCGTAATAAATATCTACGCACCCAATGACAGGGCTCCAAAATATATAAAACAAACTCTAACAGCACTGAAAAGAAAATTGATAGTTCCACAATAATAGTAGGAGACTTCAAAAAAACTAGAAGAGTTAGAATTGTATACATCAAACCTCACTGGAGTGGTGTTTTATTTCTTGTTTTCTAAATTAATCTATATTTTTAATAGAACATAGTAAAAATTGTTCTAAGGTCCAAAAGAATATACATATTACTAGTGGGAGGTCAAAAATAATATAACCCCTATAAAGAGCAACATAGTATTATACATCAAAAATATAAGTGAATTGATCCTTTCGCAGTGCAGTCCCACTTCTGGGAATTTATCCTATGTGTATTTCTGTACACGTGTAAAATAACTCCTGTCTGAAGTTATTTGCATAGCATTGTTCACAAAATCTTGGAAATGACCCAAGATGTTACATAAACTATGGTAAATCAATGCAGCAAAGTACTATGTGGTTGTAAAAGAAAGAGTGAGGAAGCTGTATATATATGGCCGTGAAAAGATATTCATGATAAATTGTTAAGTGAAAAAACCAAGATAGAGAATAGTACTATGTTTTGTTTAAGGAAAGGAAGACAAAAAGAATATTCATATATATTTGTGTCTACATAAAAAAACACTACAGATACACACAAGAAACTAAAAAAGTGGTCACCTGTAGGAGCCAGAGGTGGGCACAGAATAGGGTGGGCAGGGATATGGATAAGGAGAAGACTTCTCATGAAATGCTTTTTTTAAATATAATTTTTATGTTTGAACCATATGAATGTACTACCTACTCCAAAAATTAAAATAATTTAAAGAAAGATATGTGTAAAGTAAAGTAAGTCTCCCACTCAACTCCATTTCCCAGAAGTAACCATTTTAACCGGTTTCTTATGCAGCCTTTCAGAGTACTCTATGTATAATAATAGCATATATATATATTTTTTTTTAATAGAAGATAGTAGTGTATCATACTCACTGATCTGCACCTTGTGTGGGATGATAACTTTCCATGTTTTGAAGAGTAGGAGAAATCACAAAGGAACTATACCTTTAAAGTGTATGAAAATTGGTAATTTTGTCCTATGGGAGGAAAGTCACGATTAAGATAAAAAGGGAAACAACAGCATAGTAATACATTTGATAATGGTTAATGTTTACATTACATAAAGGCTCCCACAGACTGAAAAGAAAAACACTGACTCCACAGTCACAAAGAGTTAATTCACAAAAGAAGAGCCTCAACCAGGAAGAAAACATTGAAAAGGGTCCACCTGCTCACACTCAAAGAATGGCAGATTGAGTCAGGTAGAACTTACACGCATTAAACTCACTCATTCAAAGAAGAAAAAAGGATAAACAAGGTTGTGATGAAACTAAGATCCACAATGCAGGTGGCAGAGTGAATAGCCAACAACTTTCAGGAGCAGTTTGGCAGGATAAATCATCAGCTATGAATTCATGCCCTTTGGCCCGGTAATTCCTTTTCTGGGAACTATTCTTGAGAAAATAACTCAAATGATGGTGAAAGACTTACTGTAAAGCTTAGACATTGCAAAGTTAGTACAATCAAAGAAATGAAACAAGTTAAATACCTTGACAATGTAAGAATACAAGCTAATTATGGTTTATAATTTCATGAAAAAAAGCCGTTAAAAAATAACTACAAAGTCTAGCAATATATATGGTAAATGTACATTATATAATGTTACATATGAAAAACAACTATGTCTTAGCTCTGATTACAAGGATAAGAAAATTGTGTATATGTGTGGACAAGGACTAGTAGGAAGTGGAAACCTAAAAACAGTTTGATCCATTGAAGTATCAGAATTGTGGGTGACATTTTTGTTTGTTTTGTTTTGTTCTGTTAGTTTTGAAATTAGAAGGGACTTTAAGAGTCAGTTGATCCCACCCATCCCACTCCCCTACTACAGTGGTTACAGGTGTGGAATTTGAGGTTAGAGGGCTTGTGACTTGTGATAGTCTCATACGTGGGGGAGGGGGGTATAAATTAGGCATGGAACTGAGAGCTCACATCCTCTGCTCAGGAACTAGCCATCTCTCTGTTGATTAAGCCGTAAGAGATGCTTCAGCGCCTTTCTGTATTGAATACTTATAAGAGAACAGAGAAAACGGGTAGCAAACTACATTACTATGTCAATAAAATTAGGTCTCTTTCTAATATAAAATAATAGCTAGTATTATTCCTGACACTTTCTAGTTATCAAGATGTTTTATTAAAATTATAATAGTGCTTCAGTCTACATCGTCAGAGTATTTGTTTCCAGCGAAAGCCTCAATTCATTTTGTTTGTTTTCTGTGAATACAAGTGTCCAATAAAAGAAGACCCAGTGAGAAAAACATTTGGTGTAAATATTTCATTGTATTTTTCAGATTTACATCCCACCTCTTGATCTTTTTCTAAGATTGAAAGACAGTTTTGACAGTTCCTTATTGCCTGGGGACTCTTGGTTTCATTTCTTGACTCAGTTCCAGAGTTTGAAAGGCCACTGGTAGAGGTAGTCTTCACCGTGAGAAGTTTCCCAATTAGCAAAACAGATTAGGCAAGCAGGAAAGAGACAGTTTTATGTGCCCATGTCAGCACTAGTGCATGCCAGGAAAATGGATGTGATGATAACTCCCTTTTACTCTCATGTTTTTCAGGGTGGATCACTTGTACACGTTCTTTGTTCAATGGTCTCCTGACGTCTATGGGAAAGATGCCAAAGAGCAAGGCTTTGTGGTAGTGGAAAAGGAAGAACTTAATATGATTGACAACTTCTTCAGTGAGCCGACGACCAAGAGCTGGGAGGTGAACACTTGAGATGGGGGTAGACTGTAGCCGTCCTAACAATACAGTGTGCAATTGCAGTGTTCGCATGTTCAGATTCCAAGTTAATGGCTGTTAAGAAGTTAGATTTCCTGTGTAACTGTGAAGTTACAGAGGAAAATAACTTTACTCTTCGTTCGTAGCTAGTTACATGTGCCAGAACCACACATATACACAGTCTTTCTGACCATGCTGACTGATCCTCTTATATTGTCACTCATAGCCCAATGCCTTAGTTCAGAAGCCAGCAAGCATTTCTCTAAAAGGCCAGATAGTGTATATTTTTTGCTTTGCAGGCTATTCAAGCTCTGTTGCAACTTTTCAGCTCTGCCATTGTAGCACAAAAGCAACCATAGACAGTATGTAAATAATTGAGCATGGCTGTGTTTCATTTCATATAATTAGTACATGTTACAAAATATTATCTTTTTTTTTAGTTTTTTTCAACCATTTAAAAATGTGAAAATGATTTTTAGATCGTGTGCCATACAAAAGCGTATGGCAGGCTGGATTGGCCCACGGGCTGTAATTTGCCAGCCTCTGGTTTATACTGATCCCTTTCTCCAATCATGCAAGCATGTATCAAGAACCTCTTTTGGGCAGGGACCTGGAAATATGATTCTGAATATGCTTAAAAAGCTTACAAAGTTGGGAGGCTTGGGGATGAGACAAGAAGAAATACGTCTGCTCCTCCTTACCACTAAGCTTGTTCTTCCTCTCCATGGAGCTCTGTAGTGTCTCATTCCTCACACTCTTCTATTCTGCTCATCTCTTGCACCCCATATAGCATTTCTTCTTTCCCAGCTTGGACAGATGGGTAATGAATTCAGGATCACACTTACCAGAAAGTTCCTCGGCCCCAGTATGCAATCCTGGGTAAATCCACCCTCACACTTTCATCTGCTTCTAGGCTGCTAAACGTTGATGGAGAAAACCTCTTAGCCAGCGAGAATGAGCTGTTACGAGTATCTCACCTCTAGTGATCTCCCTTTTTGAACTCTTCCTAAGGAGCCTTGGTGGTGCAACAGTTACGTGCTTGGCTGCTAACTGAAAGATTGGTGGTTTGAACCCCCGTGTTTCCACAGAAGCAAAGATCTGGCGATCTGCTCCCGTAAAGATTACAGCCTAGGAAACCCTATTGGGCAGTTTTACTCTGTCACATTGGGTCACTTTGAGCTGAAAATCGACTCAGCGGCACCTAACAACAACAACACTCTTCTTAATCTCCCTAGCCTACTTCATACTCCTTGAATCCCAGAAGTTGGACATGTCTTCCTTTTACAAAGAAGAGGCAATTGGACAAGATTTTCCTTACTTTCCCTCTTCTGTACTTCCCTGGGTTACTTCTCAATCCAGTCCATCCTCCATACCTTAGCTAGAGGCATCTTCCGAAGAAGACATCATTCATTTATGTATTCATTCAGTGAATATTTGAGTACCTACAATGTGCCAAAAAATACTTGATTCTGTGCTAGATACTTTGGATACAGTGGTAAACAAGATAAAGTTAGTCCCTGTCCTCGTAATGTTACCTGTTATAGTACCCTTCATTTTTGACTCAAGGAAAGGTGTATATTTCCCCTCACTAAGGCTAATTCTTTTTTCATCAGTTATAACTGTCTTCTCCTATGTCATCACTCTTTCCTTCCTTCCTGGGTCCTTCTTCTTTATCAAGACATGATCAAGATAGAAGAAAGAAAAAAAAAAAAAAACTTCTCTTTACCCTTAATCTCTTTCAAGGTTCTTCCCTGTTATCCTCCTTTCTAGCCCTACCAAAGTTCTTGAAAAAGATTGGTTCACTGCCTTTTATTCCTTAACATCTTACAGTCAACTTGTTCTTTGATCACTACTGAAATCAGCCCCCCTGTGGTCACCATAGACTACTTAATCACCATTTCTATTATACGTGAACTCTCCTCTGCATTTGACACTGCTGACCTCACCCACACTCTTAAAATTTTTCCTCCTTGGCTTTTACAGCACCATTCTCCACCTTCACCCTGCTTTCTCTGACCGTTTCTTTTACTCCTTTCCTTTCTTTTGCCTTACCCCATAAATGTTTTCTTCCTCCAGGCTTCTATTCTCCTCTCTTCCATTACCCGTAGAGAACTTCGCATTATCTTCCATGTCTACCTGAGTGGTCACCATTCCCAGGTCTTTATCTCCTTTTCCAGTCCATGTGCCAAGTAGGCACATCCACCTGGTGGTCAGGGTACATCTCCAGGTCAACACTCGTTTCTTCAGGGGTCTGTTCTGCCCCATGTATTTTTCACTTAGGTTAAGATAGCCTCCCTATCACCCAAACTGGAGAGGTTTGAAACGTCAACTCTTTCTCCATCTTCAAATCTAAATAGCCCCCACATCTTTGCAGTTCTTTCTCAGGAATGTCTCTTAAATCTAGCCTCTGTAATCTTTTCCAATTGATCCTTCTTTACTTTGCTTTCACTTTTACCACATTTTGCTAATTGATTTTGCTACAGTCACCCTTCCCTATCCAATCCATCCTCCGTATCTTCTTTCTAAGTCTTCATTCATTTATTTATTCAATGAATATTTGAGTGCCTGTTACGTGCCAGATGCTATGTTAGGTACTCTGGATACAGTGGTAAACAAGATAAAGATAGTCCCTGCCCTCATGATGTTTACCATCAAGTCATATCATTCTCCTGTTTGGAAACTGCTGCTGGATTCCTTTTACCTGTAGGATGAAATTTGTCAGAATTGACACAATGGGAGTGGGTTTAACTTGATCTTAAAAGCCCTTCATAATTTTTATTGAGTACTTACCAAGCCCTCACCTTGCTAGGAACACAGTGAATGAGACAAGTATAATTTGGCATTGAATACAGATTCATTAAGGAGCCTTAGTAGCACAGTGGTTAAGCACTTGGCTGCTAACAGAAAGATCCGCAGTTCAAACCCACCAGCCACTCCACGGCAGAAAGATGCGGCAGTCTGCTTCTGTAAAGATTTGCAGCCTTGGAAACCCTGTGGGGCAGTTCTCTGTCTTATAAGGTTGCTATGAGTTGGAATCGACTTGATGGCAATGGGTACAGTTACATTATAATATAATGATATAATTGCCATTGTAGGTGAAGTGCCAAACACTGTAGGAGCATGTAGCTAGGCACCTAAGCTGACCAAGGGGCTCAGGGAAGGCTTCCAAGAAGAACTGATCTGAAGAAGTGGAAGTGTAGGTAGTTGGGGTGGGGCCAAGGCATGGAACATATTCTAGCCAGAGAGATAAGTTTGTGCAGAGGAATGACTCGGGGAGAAAAAGAGAGCATGGGGCATTTGATGAAGTAAAACAAGTTCAGTGTGACTGGAGCATAGAGTGAAAGGCCGAGGGAGTGGCAAGAAATGAAGCTGGAGCAAGCAAGGGCAGATCCTGAAGGATCTTCTGATCCATGTGTACAAGTTAGGCTATTTTCCTAAGGGGAGTAGGAAGTGTACACAGATATGCATTTTAGAGAGCTCTCTCTGGCTTATAAATGCTTAATGGATTGGAGTTGGACAATAATTGAGGCATGAAGACCTTTAGGAGGCTCTTGTAATCAAGATTGAGAGATAATGGTTACGGAAAGAGAGTGGCAATGAGGATAGAGAAAACTGGATGGCTTTGAAAGATAGAAGGTGGCATACACAGGAATTTTTGAGTAATTAGATGTGGATAGTAATGAAGAAGATGTTGAGGTTGATCTCCTGGGTTTCCAGAGTGGGAAATGGAGGGATATTGGTACCTATCCTTCATGAAGATAAGGAAGATTGCAAGAGGATTACATTTAGTAGAAAAGGCTCTGTGTTTTTGATTTTAATCTGAGTTTAAGAGGCCTATGGAATGTTCAGGAGACAATTAAATATGAATCTGAAACTTAGGGGAAAGATCTGAAGATGCACTTTTGGAAATTATTAGCGAAATTGAAGTTATGGGTGTAAAAGAGGTCATCCAGGGAGAATATGTAGAGTGGGAAGGGAACAGGGCTCAGAACAGAATCCTGAGGGATACCAGCATTAAAGGGCCAAACAAAGAAAGCAGAGGCTACAAAGATGCCTGAGAAGGAACATCCAGGGAAGGGAGAAGGAAACAAGGGAAATCATTCAGGGAAGAGGATGTTTTCAGAAGAGAATGATTGGTCAAAAATGACTACTGCTACAGAGAAGTCAAAAGATAAGAACTGAGATATGTCTTCTGGATTTAAAACCAAGAAGGTAGTTAGTGACTTTGACAAAAACAGTTTTTTTAAACTGGTAGGGTCAAAATTTAGATTCTAGTGGGTCAGAGAATTAGTAGGAGGTGAGAAAGTGTAGCTAGTAAAAATGGGTAAACAACTCAAATTTGGTTGTGGAGAAAAAAAACAAGATAATAGGAGAAGCTGGAAGAAGGGATAAGGTTGATGGAGGTTTTCCTTTGTGAGAGAAATTTTAACATTTTAGATGAGGTTAGAAGGAACAGTAGAGTGGAAGATGTGGAAGATAAAGGAATGAGGAAGGGAATGATCAGGAGAGCTAGTCCCTGATAACCTGCAGGGAATATTGGAACAGAGGAGGCCTTAGACAGGAAGTTGGACATTAGAAAAGGGGAATAACCAGTTGCCATGGAGTCAGCTCTGACTCATGGCGATCCCACGTGTATGTCAAAGTAGAACTGTGCTCCATAGGGCTTTCAATGGCTCGTTTTTTGGAAGTAGATTGCCAGGCCTTTCTTTCAAGGCATCTCTTTGTTGTTAGGTGTTGCCAAGTTGGTTCTGACTCATAGCGACCCCACGTACAACAGAACGAAACACTGTCCAGTCCTGCACCATCCTCACAATCATCGCTATGTTTGAGCTCATTGTTGCAGGCACTGTGTCAGTCCCTCTCCTTGAGGGTCTTCCTCTTTTTTGCTGACCCTTTTCTTTACCGAGCATGATGTCCTTCTCCAGGGACTGGTTCCTCCTGATAACACGTCCAAAGTACATGAGACAAAGTCTTGCCATCCTTGT